CCCTTTTAATATTAACAGATCTTACATTGAATTGTAAAATTTTGAAATGATGTGAAATTTTGAAAATTGAAATTTTTTGAAAATCGAAGATTTCTCTCTTGAAACTTGAAATAAACTATTTGTTTACTACGTATTTTAGATGCAAAAATAATTCCAATTCTCATATAAATTGATCATAAAATCTTCTGAAAATCTTCTGTATACATGTTTTAAAATTAATTGTAAGTCAAAGTAAGAATAAAATTGTGACGCGGATTCTCTCGCGAATAGACAAGAATTTTTACCGATAAAAATTGCGAACTAGTTCGTTGTTATCATCCATAGAGCTCTTTTATCATGGGATTCGATGGTTCAATTCATCTCTTTTAAGAATTAAAAAATGTCAAATTATAGATGTCTCTCAATAATTTTGTCTCTCTCAAGTTGCAAGCTATCTTATTTTTTTCCTCGCTATGCAATGCTTCAGGTTTTACCTAAATTTCATGCCGGAGCTCTGCCTTCGAAAGCTGAAGCTGAACATATTTATCGCTCACTGGCCGCGTATTTTCCCGGAAAGGTATGTTAATGCGCGAACATGAATTGAGTTTTATTTATTGTCGAGTCGAATCAGAATTAATTTATTATTCATCGATAATAGGATCCAGACAATAGGACACAGTGACGGCACAAAAAAAATAATTTCTGTCATTGGAAAACCCTATAACGACGAAACGAGATATCGACAAGCTTCGTACAGATGTAATCTGAAAAACCGCAAACTTGAGGATGAAATTGCATGTTTTGTTTAGTAATATTTTAATTCTTTAGCTGCACTGAGTTATTTTTCCGCACACCTGATAGTTTTGTTTATGGTAATTATATTTCTCACAATGAGAAAACCCTCATTTTCATCGGAAGTAATCGTTAAATTTAATTTACGATCGCATTTTATGATTACATCATGTAGCAGTAACTTGCAATGTCATTGGATTGGAAGAACCGTTATTATTTATAATATAAAAATAATGCATTTATGCATGATAATAGAAAAGATAGAAAAATTTTTGTATCATAAAATTAATTAAATTACTTTAGTATAAAATAATTTAAACTTTAATTCAAATTTTTAATTAAACAAATATAATAAATTGGTCGATTAAATTAATCATTCAAATTTAATTTAATAATACTTATCATTAATTTTTATCTCTTTACGAAATAGATAAGGTACATATTTCTTCTCTTATTAAAAATAAAAATATAAGATTATTCTTAATTCTATTTGTAAATTTAAATCAATTTCGTATTTTCATTCAAAAATATTCATTGTATCAATAATTGAATAATCCATTCTTTTTGGATATAAAGTACCTAACTATGAAATAAGATTAATTCAAAGAAATTTAATTTGCAATTAGAGGGATATATCTCCACCGAATATTCTCTATTCTCGCGAGTTTATCTACACTCAGAGAGAAAGGTCATAACTAAAAAAAAGTAACTAGAAAGTAACTAGAAATTTGTACACAAATAGTGCTTCAATTATGTATAATAAAGTTATAATAAGAACAATTAACAAGTTATGTGAATCAAGAAAACATAGTAATATTAATCATTTAATATTAATATTAATATAAATTTAATATAATAATAAATTGTTAGATAAACTAATATATCGTATACCGTTGTTGTCAATATGTATTCTTTAAACTTATCTCAATGATATTGTCGCATTATGCGTATCTCACAAAAATGTTTGTCTAAATTGGAAAAATGTAATGTCATATTCTATCTCTATGAAGTCTATATAACTATGTAATTATAGCCGAATCGCTATTTCACTATCAATTAATAATTTCACATCTATCGTCATCGTGACTATATTGTTATTGTATTCAATACTACTTTCAGTACTCACTACTTTGAAATACTAATTGCAGGTGTCTAACAATTTTATAATTGTCATAAACATAGTTGCCAGAACTATTTTGTTTTCTCTCGGTGCAGGAAGACCTCGGGGGCGCTATCCTGGAAAGGCGCGTGAATCAAGAGTCAATTGCCTTTGCCGCGGCGCGGTATAAATGCGAAGGCGCGGACGAAAATCGTCTCAGTGTCGAGCGTGAAAAAAGCTGCGGCGGTGCGTCCGCCTCCAACTACGTTCTCGATCTGCGCAATCACACGCGCTTCGTTTCCCGTATTGGTTGGAACCACAATCACGTGGCGAGATAGAAGGAAACTGCGAGGAGGATACTCATGAGAGTTGCCTTCCCAAGGCAAGGAGGGAACTCGAATCCGAATCAAGAAAAATTCGCGATCCGAAAATTGTCGATGCTTGAATAACTGTCGATACATCTTCCGTTCGCGGAACTCAATCTCCCGGAATTTTATTTTTCTCCCTTTCCGCTCTCCTTCGGCATCTTACTGGCAATTAAATAAATTCATCGATCCGGCTTGCAATTGTCAAGTTTCTTCTCGTGACTTTTCCTCCGCTCGTAACTTGCCCTCCCTAATTTATGATCCGCGTCCGGCGGTTTAAACACTCGTGATTGTCACCGATGAGAAATGAGCGAGTCTCGATGACGGACTTCTTGGGATGACTCGGGACAGAAAGACGCGGATTTTGTTGGTCATCGTCTAGGATCTGTGTCGATATGGAAGAGGAACAGCGCAAGAACTGTGCAAGATATTAGAGAGAAATATCCTTGCCATTGCTTGCAATCCAGTCAAGAGAAATAGATAGTTACAACAGGTATTTATATTCCGCGATTTATATTTGAATTAATAATTGCTTATCTTTAAGTTACTCTACTAGCTGAATTAAATTGCATTGAATTAATCGAATATGTGCCTCATCGTTAAATATAATAGGAAATTAATTTTCTATCAAAAAAAATTTGCGTGTTCTGTACAGATTTAACTGAGATAATTGTATATATAAAAGAGATGTTGAAAAAAGGCAAAAGAAACTTATTTTGCGCTTAATGCCTCGTGCGAATATGAAATTTATTTTGTTACGATATTCTTTATCGACTTTTTTATTGTCTATTGTTATGTAAAATGTTTTCAATCTTTTTAATGAAATCGACACACCGCAAAAATATTCGTTGGAAAAATAACTAAAGAATTTGCTTGACGCGGCATCGAGTATTGCCAATTCGCTCGTGCGGTTCGCCGAAATAGCAACTAACTGAAGCTCGTAAACAAATCTTATATTATATTGCCATGTATATGACGAACGCAGAGTATATCGTCATCGCGGAAAATTTAGAAAATGGTAATTTAACACGCGCTCCGGTTTGATTTGCATAGAATTTTTTGCAATTTTATTAATTACAAGGTGAACCGTGTCGCAACAGTGTGTCGATCAGGTTGCACCCGTCATCTGGAGTTATTGTTTTTTTAGTTGTATTGTTTGCAGTGAATAAATTATGAAAAATTTACAGATTACTCCAAATTGTATTTAAAAATAATACAAAAAAGTTGAGCGATGATTTAAAATCTGAATCAAAAATTATTTAAATAAATAAATAGTGTTCTTTAGTTAAAAAAATAACGAAAAAATGTTTAATTTTCTTAAATAAGTATTTTTATTATTTTTATTATATTTATATTTATATTTATTATAAATATTCAAAATTATTTACGTAAAGTTTTATTGCGATGCAGAGATGTGTTGTTCTGTAAATAAAAATTTTATTTTATTTTTGTATACCATCACTTGTTTCGTTTGTATCCTTAATAATAAATCGTCTTAAACACTTAAAATGCTTATATAAAAAAAATTGAGATTTTTATTATTATTTCTTAATTACATTTCTATCAAAGTATTTTATTTTATATTTAAATAATTTTTAATTTTTATTCTAAATAATATTTATAAAATTTTTTGTAATTTTTTTAAAAAGACGATCTAGAATAATATATAATTTTTCATAATTTTTTTGATGTAAATAAAAATAAGTATAATATATAAGTATAATATATTTATATATATATATATATATATATATATATAATATAATACAAAAATATTTAGCGGTGGTTTAAAATCTAAATAAAGATTATTTAAATAAATAAATATACATATATACTTAGAAATATATATATTTAGATAAAAATTTATACACATAAATATAATATAAGTATAATATATTTTTAATCTAAACTCTAATCGATTAAGAAAAAAAAACAAAAATGCATGCAATGTCACACGTGTGAAATTTTTTAGGCACAACGCATTGGACTAGTTCTTGCTTTTAGTTCCTTACTGAATCTAATACAATCTATAAATAAATCATCTAATACAATCTATAAATCAATCATCTTATAAAAAAATCTTACAATAATTACAAAGTAGTTTTTTTTGTTGGACGCAAACATTGTTTCGTTTTTCAAGGCAAAAGTTATAATAGTCATCAAATATTTTTGCATAATTATGTCACTATGCATTGATACGTGATACACATTCCATTGTGACGCGAATTGGAAATCGAGATGCAATGTAATACTAATGTAATTTCTAATTTTTCTTCTTTTTATTATATGATTATCTTTAGATATATATTTATCATACGTCAAAGAGCTTATAAATTTTGAATTAACAATTAAATTTTGGAGAAATAAATATTTCACGTATGTTTGCTCGTACACGAATAATGAAAAGGAATTGAATATGTGCACATAAGATCTTATTGAGCATTAATAGGCAGGAAGGGCGAGCACCGTCTAAGTGCCCCCTTAATCTCTTAATTTGTAATTAACTTAACTGTAAATGAAAAGATTTCACGGCGGTCGGGACGCGTCTTTCACAGTATATAAAATACATGAGAATTAGTACGCTGACATTTGCGAGCAGATTCATAATGTTGTCGACGAATAGTCGATCTTATCGATAAATGCAGGCGTCGAAGCGGCATGGCATGATGAATGGACGCACGATGGAGATGATAAGTCTTGATCTAATCCTCTCGTACCGCGTTAATGGGTTAAATTACGTTATACGTATGAAACGGATTGAGGATCTGGCGATGATAACAGGCCGGTCTCGTGAGTCACGAGATCCGATTATTGTCGGTTCTTCAAGCATTTCGAGTGGCAAACCAACGCTCGCTTAATCGTGCGCGACTATTATTCAATTTATGCGCCGCACAAAATCGTACGTCGCGATAAACAATAACGTGTTCGAGATGTTAAATTCCGTTAAGCTCACCGCGCCTTTGGTCTTGAAATTCTTTTCGATACGGAGATACTTACAAAAACTACGAATTGTATTTAAAAAGAATTTATTTTCCGCAAACGTTGATGAAACATTGATAAAATACGAATGAATAATGCAGCAGCTAACAATCACGTAAATCATAAGCGGGACGATCGGTCGCTGCGGAATCGATCGATTCGAGAAATACATCTATGGAAATATCTCTTTTTTATATTTTTTTCTTTTCTTTATCAGCAACAGCAGTTTCTCTTTGTAGTAATTATGTTTGTACCTTGTAATCGCGATCGGTGTCGAGGTGAGTTAAGAGAAGCTTTTTTTCATGGCGGATCAAAATTACGCGATCGCCGAGGATCGGGATCTCCGTCGAGCGTTCGTTTTCAACAATTTTCTGCACGAGCACGATCGCACATCATTTGCACATCGCGTGTTATCATTGTAGTATCACTGTGATTCACAACGAGTCTCGCGCCGGAAATGATTTGCCGGACGATTCATCGAACTTCTCTTTGAACTTCGAAAAAAGATGTGCCATTAAACTACTAACTGTAAGTTTCACATAAAGTCAGATAATGTATATTTTAATAAGTAGGTATATTTAATAAATAGATAATTAATATGTGCATAGAGTAAAATGAATAAATATAGATATTTATGATTGTTGCAACCAATCAACAATGTTTTCTAAATTTTTTTTTAATATTAATTTTTCATTAATTTTACATCGTATTTATACTTACATTGTAGAAATAATATTTACTTAACGTTTATTAAATATTTATTTTATATATATTATATAAACATATATATACATTAGTTATTTATTTGCAATATTGATTTGAAAAAATATTTATTTAATATTTATTTAATTTAATATTTATGTTATTAGTTATATTATTAGTACATTTTTATGACAGATAGACACGACGGATTTTATTTTTCGTAAACTAAAAAATCATACAGAATAATATAAAAAGCATAATATGATATATAATATGAATTTTTTGAATCATGTTCTAATAAAATGATGATAAAGTAATGCTTTGAAGATAAGCTCACAAAAGTTCTTTGAAATAAAAATAAATATTCTGATGGAACATTTTCGAGAATTTAAAATCAATTATTTTTTTGGATTCTTTGAGCAGAATAAATAAACGTTAAATAAAAAATGTTTTAAAAATGTTAAAAATGTTAAAAATGTTT